TCCCCCCCCCCCCCCCCCCCCCCCAACTGGCTAAAGTTGATGGGTTAAATTTGGCAGCAGCACAGAGGAAGGATGGCTTAGTGCTAGGGATAGAGGAAAGAACAGGTGGTAGGGCCCTGGGGTTATCTCTGATGCTCAGTCAAAACATGCTGCTGACTCTTCCACCTGACTAGGTCTGGCCTGCAACGGCTGTAGCTTGCTGACCCCAGGTTCAAATTCAATGTAAAACCTGAAAATGTTTCTCACTGTTTTGGAAAACAGTTGAATTTTGTGTTCAAAAGTAAACAAAGCTTTAAATTTGTACTGCAGTAAACTGACAATAGGAGCTTTTTCTATGACTGAGCTAGTGCCTCCTTTTAAAATTTACAATGCTGGAATTGCCATAGCTGCTTCCAGGGTAAACTATATGTAGTAGCAAACTGAGCTGGGGGATAGGGTATCTAGTTTACAGTGGGGATTTTGCAGGTGTATATAGTGATATTGATATAAAACCTTGTGGGTATGTTCTTCCTGTGTAGTCAAAGGTTAAATCAAGCTACTTCTGAGGTATTGTTTTGTAGCAGTGTACCTAAGGCTGCAAAGGGATGTCACCTTTGCTTTTGTGACACCATAGAAAGTATGGTATCAGAGTGAACAGACATCCTTCCCCCCTCCCCAGTCACACTACGAATGCCCCAAATTGTGAGCATGACAACTACTTATAGTAGTTTTGTGCTGCCTGTTCATTTATGGTACAGGCAGCTCTGGATGCCTGCCCTTCAGGGGCATGATCCTGTGGGATGGCAGCCCTGGGTGCCCTGCTTTGGCCTGGGGTGTATGTTTGCAAGCAGAGCTGAGAAGCATGCAGTTCATGCTTGGTCTGCAGTGCAAGATGTCCTGGAATTCTCTGCAGGTTACCTGTGAGGTTGGGGCCACGCACCTGGGGCTATCTGTCAGGATCAGGCTCTGAGTAGCAGGAGCCTGATCCTGTAAGACAATGGCCTTAGGTGCTGCTGGTCTCTGCCTACCTATTGGATTGGCTGTTCTGGGACACATTCTGGCACAGCTGATTCTGCCAGAGACATTTGTGTATAATCTAACATGTCAAATACCCTTTGTGAACTGTCCTGAGCCAATGCGTGCTGCATGCAGCCTATTCAACAGCAAGGATATCTGTGGTTTCTGAACCAGCTATTGGGAGGGAAAGGCTGCTGCGCTGGGACTAACTTAGTAATAATAAAGTGACTGTGGTACAAGGCATAATGGAATAGTCATCTTGTGTGTAAAGGGTTTAAACTGAGATGCACTACATCTGAGTGACAGTCTCCACATAGGTGGCTGGTGTGGTGCTTTTTAACAGCTCTTAATTTAGTGCAAGTTATAGTTTTGTCAGTAACTGCTTAATGGGTTCCCCTTTTTATTGCCAAAAGGCTGATGTTTGTTCAGTTTCAGCTGACTGACTGGATACCTCTCTCAAATGTGTGTTCAGGGGTTGATGCCCCTAATAACGTTTTACAATTGGTGTCTTTTGTTCATTTCACATATTAAAATGAATAGCTTCTACTAGCAGTTGAAGCTTCATACATGTGTCAACCTTCCTGGGGGGTGATTCATTGTGTTCTGTGCACACAAAAAAAAGTGAATGTCTAGAAACGTGGGGTACTACCTGCTGTGCCACATTGCATAAGGAGGGATGATTTGCTAAAATGGGTGGTTCGTGATCAGCTCAAGGAAGAAAATGGTTCTGCTGCTGGGCAAATGGTGTTAAACAGGTCTAGAAACTAGAATATACATTTCTAGGTATGCAACTGTATTAAATAGTGTCTTAACACTTCTGCACAGGATGTCACTCAATGCATAGCTGTAAACAAAGCAGAATTTTTTAGCAGTTTCCTGAAAGCAAAGCACTTAAATTTGTATTTTCTAAAAATAAACATCCTTCAGCTCTGTTAGGGAGAGATTATGCAGATCACATAGCAGAGCTGAAGAAGGGCCAGACTGTAGTCAGGGAATGTACATGCAAAATCTATTACATTCTTCCAGGAAAACTTATTGTCAGGCTTCTCTCGGCAACTTGAAAGAATAGTGGCAAGCTGTACACAACACAGTAAGTGTAGGTGCTGATAGCAACCTTCTCAAATGTCTGTAAGGGAAATGAGCCATATGGCAATCTACGGGCCCAGGATACTTAGCTTTAGAATCTCTCACAGGAGGTGATGGGGTTACACCGCACTGGTTTGTGGCCTCACTTCTACATAACAAAATACAGCTGTGATCATGTAACCAATATTGTGGTCTACACCTAATGGACTACCAAGCAAAGCATCTGTTTGTATAGGCAGTTAGTGCACGTATCAAATGAATGCTAGCTGAGGTAACGTACCTACAAGCAGAAGGTGCATTGTTAAATTAAACAACAGTCATAGAGTTGCTCTGAACTTATTTTTGGCCCGTAGAGTTCCACTGTTGGCCCTGGTTCTGTTGTTTATGATTCCCAGGCAGGAATTAGCTATTCACATCCTTTGTGTGTCATGTCGGTAGATGTCACCAGTGATTCAGATCATTGAGAACATTATGGATCATTTAGTCTTTCCTTCACTTCCAGCAATGTACTACATCAGAGACCTGACCCTACCCACTAGGGGATGACTTAATTGAACCAGGGTGTCCTGAGTCCAGAAAAGCACAAGGAGCTGGATTGCCCAATTCTGAGGGTGGTGAATGTGGGCTTGTAAGTAGTGCTTTCTCATGTAGCAGATTGTGTGCCTGTTACCAAACAATTCAGACATCCTCTGCATACTGCAGAGTGGTGAGTCAGCCCTGCAGAGAAATGAGAGCGAGAATGTGATAGAATGGTGCCGCAGCATCATTCAGGGGAGAAGTGCCCCTCAGCAGTCAGGCCAGGCTTTCAGGCTAGGAAAGGGTAGTAGGTGCCTGATGTCAGATGCTGCCTCCATAAACAATACCATTGTTTAGCTGGCATTCCCTCTTCTCCCTTAACTCTGGTATTGTGCTCCCCTCAGAGATCTAGGATGACCAGGCAAATAAAAACGTCAGTGATTTGCTGGAGTAGCTAAACAGATGTTTGGTTAGTGATTGACCAGGGCCTATTACCACCTGTTTTCTAGGACCCTTTCATTGAGCTGGAATCTATATTAAAATGAACTGTAAGGGAATAAATTTCCTATGTAGGTGAATGGCTCAGTTTCCTCACAGATACATAGGTGCCCCTATGGGAGATGTATTAATGCAGATGGGAAATGAGGGCCAGGGCCTTTTTCCACTGGACCAACTACAAAACTTAAAAGTATTAGCTATAACTTGAGTAGAAGCCCAGTAGCTGGGGTAGAGAGAGAGGGTAAAACAAACACTAAGGGCAGCAGGAATGTGCATGCATAAGAGGAAGAATGGACTTGTGATTGTGACACTGGCCTGAACAGGCATAACTGGGCAGTTTTGTACCAGCCCGTCTCTCTCAGTTGCACTGGTTGGGCTAGGACTAGTGAGAGCTAGGTCCAGTCTGCAGCTTTGCCACAGACTCCTGTTGAGATGCTGGGCAGATGCTTAATCTCTCCATTCCCTCTTTCTAAAATGGGGACAATAATCCTTCCTGCATCTGTCTTGTCTATTAACTGAAAGCCCTTCAGGCCAGGATTGTCTTTTAGAGCCTCTGCTGGCCACCAGTAGGAGCACAGGATTCCCCATCACCACTCACGATTGCATTGTTTGGCTTCTTGTGATTTTTTTTTTTAGTTTAGTGGGAGAGGAGGGGTTTACTTTGTAAAGGAGAAGGATTTTTGCTTCTTACACTTTTTTCTGAAGCACAGGGCATTGGCCAGCGCTAGAGACACATTCTAACAAATTCTTTAACCTAACATTCTTTATCATTGCAGTGGTGACAATGTTAACATTGCCCATATTTGCTCTTCTTTTTCCCTGGAACATGCTGTAGGTTTTTTAAAGGGTGCTTTTTGACTGGTACGTGAGAGGGGCTGGAACAGATGTGCTCATCAGCTCCCTTGAACAAAAGGATGCCTGTGAATGGAGGGGTATGGACTTGATGGCCCTTACGGTATAAAGTTCCTGTGAGTTTGTACAGCCCTGATTGCATGGTGGTTTCATAGTTTCATAGATTAAGGGTCGGAAGGGACCTAGTAGATCATCTAGCCCGACCCCCCGCCAGGGCGGGAGAACAACAAAACCCCAAAACAAGAAACGGGACTCAAATGAGTCCAGCCAGGTAGGCATCCAGCCTCTTCTTAAAGACCCCCAGGGTAGGGGCCAGCACCACTTCCCTTGGAAGTTGGTTCCAGCTCCTAGCCGCCCTAACTGTGAAGTAGTTTTTGCGGATGTCCAATCTATACCTCCTCTCCATCAACTTGTGCCCATTACTCCTTGTTATGCCAGCGGGCGCTAGGGGAAACAGCGTCTCCCCCAAACCCTTCTGGTCCCCCCTAGTGAGTTTATAGACGGTCACCAGGTCCCCCCTCAGCCTTCTCTTGTGGAGGCTGAATAGGTTCAGGTCCCGCAGTCTCTCACTGTAGGGTCTGCCCTGTTGTCCCCGGATCATGCGGGTGGCCCTCCTCTGGACCCTCTCCATGTTGTCCACATCCCTCTTGAAATGGGGCGCACAGAACTGGACACAATACTCCAGCTGTGGCCTGACCAGCGTCGCGTAGAGGGGGAGGATCACCTCCTTGGCTCTACTCGAGATGCACCTGTGGATGCACGACAAGGTCTCTAGTCACTACTGCGAGTGTGCCAGAGATAACAAGGTACACTTACTGTGGGCTCATATCCTCACTCCTATGTCCTCCCTTGTTTGGCCGTACTGCTGACTGCTTCAGTCATGGCACCTTATCTGGTCTTCCTGCTCAAGTTTATTCTGTTCCATAGGAGCTGCTAACAGGACCTTCAGCCTGGTTGACTTCTGTATGAGACAAGGAGTGACCTCAAGTGGCCAAATACTATAATTATTGCCTTAAAAAAATTATGTTGCTCCCTTTGGTGATGTCTCGTATGTAGAGATGAAGCCCCGTTAAATCATTCAGAGTCAAATTTTGCTTATAATCAAAGTTAAAGACTGACAACTCTTGAGCAACCCAAAGCAGATGTTACAAAATGTGAAGCAATTGGGACATGCCCGCCTTGCACCAGTCTGGCATTTTCCAGAGCCTTAGTTCCTCCATGTCCACACACATCACAGCCAGCAGCTTTTTCAGTCATTTGGAGATGAGCCCCCTTGCCTGCTTTTGGCCACATTCTTATTCTCACCCCTGTCTCTCGGGCTGCCTTGGGTAAGTTAATCTTGAATTTTTCAGTGACAATTACCTCCCCAAAACAGCAGTTCTGATCTGCTCAAATAAGACAGTTTATTTCATACCAAAAAAAAAAATCCAAAGGGGTAAAATTTAGGCAGGACCTAATATTCTAGAGACTATGCAAAGCCTGCCTGATTTTAGTTACAGTTCAGTGACTCCACATGATTCAAAATCTGACAACTAAGCACAGGCCACTTTGTTCTTCCCGGCAGCATAATGAGGGTTGGTCCATTTTGCATTCTTCTCTTGATTCAGTGACTGACCCTTTGGCTTGTGTCTTCCTCTTACAGATCTTTGTTATGAAGGTATCAAAAGAATCTTTACTGGTGTGCTAGACCTCATGTCAGAACATCCTTAAAATGGAAGTTAAACAGCTTTCAGTAATGAGTGTTTACATTTTAAATGAGTTTCTCTTCTACAACCTGAACAAGTTCTTTTCCAATTGGCAACGGAATTAGAACAAATCTATTAACATTAATTTGTTCATCTCAGTGTCCTTTCAATCCTTTAGGAGAGCTAGGCGATTCCTTAAGCCTTTTTTATGAGTAAACTCAAGTTTAACACATTGAAAAGACTGTCCTTGAAGGAATTTTCTGAGGAAACAACTCCAGGAACAGATTTGTGGAAGTCATTCTCTCCCTTCCAAGTGGCCACCTTGCTTTTTCAGCTTTGCCTGCGTCATGAAAATGAACTGTAACTGAGAGATCTGTGATAGGGCAGCTGAACATAGCATAGCTAGGCAGGTAAGCATGGACACCCTGCATTCCATATTGTTTCAGCCACTTGCGATAAAATCAGACCTTCCTAGCCCTGAAATACTGACATGCTACTCAACATGGTTTTTTATTAGTGCAATTTGTTCTACTAAGGAGTTGAAGTGCCTCTGATGCTGAAAGTACTCTACTCTCAGTAGGTCAGATAGATGAGGCCTTTGACATCATTCTTATGTTCAGTGTATCATAAAGCCCAGCTAAATTAGATTGCTGGCCAGTTTGTGATGCTACTTATATGCACAAGTTTCCTATCATTTGTCTGTATCTAATATGATTCATCAGACAGTAGTTCACATCAGCACCCCGAGTAAATGTAGTACTTGATAAGGAACTTGTTTTTCCCTGCAGTGTTGTTATATTTTGAATTAGGTAAATAGGAAGCAAGTTGTACATTAAAACTCTTATATACCGTAGCAAGCATCTCATGCTGGGGCCCATCAGTTGAGAGGCAAGAAGAAGGTAATGGAACGAAAGATTGCAAGGAGATTATTTTGGTACTGGGTGGATTATCTTGGGTACTTGCTTAAATTCAAAGGATAGCATCAAAGATTTTTGATAGGGCTGTCAGTTAATCACAGTTAACATATGCAATTAACACAAAACAAGTTGACATGTTAATTTTTGTAATGAGTGTTCATTGCACACATCCATTTTGACCAGAGGTGGGCAAAATACGGCCTGTCTGTAACACGCCCTCTCCGGACACAGCCCAGTGGAGCAAACCAACCAGAACACGTTCGAACAACACTGACCCCAGCCTACCCCACACCTGCTCCAGACTCACCTGCCCACGCTGAGCAGTGGCAAACAGCATTGGCAGCTGGATAGAAGCTGCTGCTTGGCAAGAGGGAAAAGCAGCCCCTTCCCCTTGCCGTTGCTGGGCCTTTTTTGCTGCAGTCATCTGGAGCCCACGCCCAGGCTGCCCTGCAGCTTCTCTCTGCCAGTGTCACTGTTCCCTCCAAGCTGCCCAGCAGGGCAGTGGTGGCAGTGCAGAGAAGACACAGAGCAGCCCAGGTGTGGGCTGCAGGTGACTGCAGCAAGAAGGGCCTGGCAGCAGCAAGAAGGGCCTAGTCTGCTCCAGCCAACACAAGTCTGGAGCGGGCAGAGAGCAGGCCATGGTTGGAGCTGGGCTGTGTGCTGTTGGTGCTGGCATGGGAGGAGCTACAGGGTGCTCAGGATCTAGGCTGTTGGGTGGGGGGTGCTGACTATTATTTAACTGCCATCAAAATTGTGATTAATTACATCTTTTTTTTTAATCTCACAATTGTGACTAATTTTTTTAATCATTTGTCAGCCCTAATTTTCAAGTTTTAATGTAGCTGTTTGAAGAACATGAACATGAAACCTGACTAAAGCCCAGGTGAAGTCAAGGGAAAAGGCTCATATGTAAATATTGGAGAGGACAGCATGGGAGATTCATGGTCAGAACAGAACTCAGGTTCCGGACTCCTCCAATCTATTCTGGATTGCTCTGGAGTGGTGTGACCCTTAAAGGAACATTGTCAGATTTAAAGTAATACTTAAAAAGCAATAACGGATTGCCTTGCCCTGGCAATGTAGACCCTTATAGACATAAGCAGGGATCTAGGTTTTCTGTTTTCCATGGGAAAATGGGGTAAACCGCAGATTTCTCATTTTGCCAGAGAAACCTGCGAATTTTGCAGTTTGGCTGGGAGCCCTCTGCAGGCGGGCAGAGGTCCAGCTTGCTGGAGACTGGGAGCAAGCGGGAGGAGGGCAGTCAGGCAGGGGGCGCAGTGTGCATGTGCATGGCCCCAAGCAGCCTGGAGAGCAGCTCCGGCAGGTAAGTTGGTGGGGGGTGGGATTGAGGCCCCCGTAGGGAGGGAGGGAGAGTTGAGCAGGGCTGGGGCTGCTGCTCAACAGGGCAGTGCCTGGGGCTTGGAGCCACCACAGTGTGCGGCTGCAGGGCCCCTGCGGGAAGTGGGAGGGGGTGGCCCATCCAGAGGGGGGTGGAGGGGTAGGGCCAGCTCCCCACTGTTGTGCACACTCCCAGGAGGGACCTGCACCCCCCAGATCTCTGCACTGGGCAGGAGCTGTGCGCTGCCCACTTCAGGCTTGTGCTCCCCACCCTGCTGCCCTCCCCCAGGGCCTCCACAGCCCAGCACGTTCAACCCAGCACTGCAGGGAACAGTGGGGCAGCGCAGAAAGCTGCTTGTTGCTGCGAGCTCTGCACTGCCTGCGTCCCCTGCACGCAACCCCATGTTCTTGCCCCCGCTGCAGCCACAAAGGAAGGGAATGCCTAGCTAGGGCAGTGCAGAGCTCTCAGCAGCAGGCTGCTTCTTGTGTGGCCCTGCTGTTCCCTGCAGTGCCGGTTGCACACACCCGGCTGGGGGGCCATTGGGAGGGCAGCAGTGTGGGAGTCTGCAGTGGGCAGCGTGGGGCCCCTGCCCTGCACACAGGTGGCGGGGGGCAGGTCCTCCTGCCTGCTGGGAGTGTGAGCCACAGCAGAGAGCAGCCCCTCACCTCTGCCCCAGGCCGCAGCAGGGGGGAGCCGGGCTCCACTCTACAGCAGCTGCTGCCTCCTGCCAGAGGCAGGGGGCTGCAGACCTGGGCCCATGGCCTCGTAGCCCTGGCAGCTGGGCGCCCCCCTCCAGCAGGGCTGGGGGAGCAGGAGCTGTGGGTGGGGAGCGAGGGGCACTAGCAGGCTTGGGGGGTGGTGGTGGAGAGTGAAGGGCACCAACAGAGGGCCAAGGAGGGTGTGGGGGGCCTTTCATTTTAATCACAGATTTTGGGGTGTTTATCAGAGAATTTGTGATTTTTTTTATCAGGGAGAACCAGGATCTCTGAACATAAGTTTCAAACGTGGCATTTTTTCTTTCTCTGAAATTAAGATTCCAAATCAGAGATGGACCTAGATACTTAATGAAAAACATTCTTGAATAATATAATACAAATAAATGTTACAATAATAACAGTTTCCTTATGAGAGGATTCTTATAGAGTGCTTCAAGATTCTGGTCTGGGATATTCTGGAAAATGGTAGTAATGTTGTCAAGACAAAAGTTGTAAATGAAAAAATAATTTGTCCCTATTCTAGTATAATGAGCTGAGAAAATTAAGGCATTTTAAAGCAGATTATAACTTAGAGAAATGAACTAGCTAAGGAAACACAAGCTAGATGAAAGGATTGTAAGGTGGATACGGAACTGGTTGGATCACTCTACTGAATGAGTAGTCATCAACGGCTAAATGTCTAGTTGGCCAGTTACCAAGTGGCATTCTTCAAGGGTCTGTTCTGAATTCAGTATTGTTTAATATCTTCACTAATGATTTGGATGATGGGATAGAGTGCACACTTAGCAAACTTACAGGTGACACCAAGTTGGGTGGAGTTGTGGACACTTCGGAAGGTAGGGCTAGGGTTCAGAATGACCTGGATAAACTACAAAATGGCACAAAATAAATTAGATGAAATTCAACAAGGAAAAATACAAGTCTTGCACTTGGGACAGAACAACTGCATACAGAAATACAGACTGAGGAATGACTGGCTAGGCTGCAGTACTGCAGAAAAGGATCTGGGTGTAGACCATAAACTGAACATGAGCCAATAGTGTGCTCTTATTGCAAAGAAAGTCAATAGCATACTGCATTATATTAATATGAGCATTTGCAAATCAGGGTAAGTGATCCTTTTGGCACTCATTAGGCACCTGGAATACTGCATCCAGTTTTGGGTTTCAAGAAAGAAGTATACAGATTAGAGTCTAGTGGAGAGCAACAAAAATGATTAGAGGTCTGGAAAACATGACTTAAGAGGAAAGGCTGAAAGCACTAGAATTATTTAGTCTAGAGAAGATTAAGAGAGGATTTGATAATAGTCTTCAAATACCTGAAGGGTGGTTATAAAGAGGATGAAGACTGTTTCTGTGGCTGTAGGGGAGAGGACT